TTCTTCTTCTTCTTCTTCTTCTTCTTCTTCTTCTTCTTCTTCTTTCTCCTCAGTGAAGCATTCCCTCCTTTGCAAGTTGAAAGGAAATTCGTAAATCGTCACTAATGCATTCCAGCAAGCAGGGGTGTGAGTGGAGGGGGGCTGGGAGGAAAGGGCAAAGCACAGATAGGTCATTACGAGCCACACAAAGAATAAATGTGGATGCTACACCTACCTGAAGCACACGATCGAATGCAGCTGGCAACGGGCTGCACAAGACAATCAATTACATGGCAGAAGCGACGATGACATGAGAAACCTGTAGCGAATCAGCAATCAGAACTGTCCCTGATTAACATAACAGTTACATTTCAGGGGAAGAATAGTACTCTGAATTGAGCCCAACCATGCATCACACACTTCACACGATTCTCGCACCAGATAGCACACACACGAAACACACATGAGAAGTGGATTCAAAAGTAGTCTCCGCAAGTCAAGTGTTCTATACAAGATTGCATTCTTCGAGCTCGGTCGGCTTATGGCCGCGAGCAACAACACCCAGATGTGCTCTCTCTCTCTCTCTCTCTCTCTCTCTCTCTCTCTCTCTCTCTCTCTCTCTCTCTCCAACCCCCTACTCATAGTCCACAGGATCCTCTCTGATTACCCCTCTCTTCTATTTCCCTAATCTAGCTACAGCTACGGGCACCCAGTGCTGTCAACTACCCTTGCAGCAGTGCAGAGGACTTGGTGGTATACAACATCACAGCAGTGCTTCCGCTAGAACACACGAGTGAATATATGCTGATGAGCTCAACAATTGGACTTGCGTACCCGATGCTTTGCTTCCAGACTTCCTCTTGCAGTTATGGGCCGGAGCCTTGGCCAACATTTGTCGCTTCCAAAAGTTCCCTGATTTTCCTAGGACTTTGCTGCTGACTAGGACTTGCTGACAGAAAGGCCTACCGACTTCTACTGGCTTTTCTAGCCCTACCCTACTGTGACTTCTCTGAAACTGACCGTCTTGGCCTAAGACCTTGACCCTGAAACTCAGATTTGGGGTCTGAATCGTGGAAGGCCTTTCACTCTCGCCGGCGTAATTTCGAGGTCCTCCGAGAGAGTTATCAACTTTATCTAACAATTATGTTAATTCTTATTTTCGGTCTCTCATAATAAGACACAATATGCAGTGCTGTTTCAGTTAGTTCGTCTCTTGTAAACCAGCAATCTTCTGAAGGTTCCTGATATGCAAATCTAACCTTATACTGTCGCTGTGGTCTACCCCTGCGTCCAGATCTGTAAACATCTTCCCCAACAACCCTATCTACATCATACTTTCCATCCATATCCAGGGGAATCATAGATCTGCGAGTTGGAAACAGTTCATTACTAACGCAAGGAAGTAACTTTGATGCATGAATCACAGGATAAGTTTGCAAACGTGGAGGAATCTCAACAACATAGGAGGGACCATCCACATCAAGAATCTGCCACGGTCCTCTATAAGCAGGCAACAACTTCTGGGAAATGTTCTCCTCAGGGAGAAATTCTTTTGACTTTACCCAGACCAAGTCTCCTACAGCAAATTGTGAAGGCCTGCGGTGCTTATTAGCCTGTTCTATCATCTGATGCTGTGTCTTACTAATGTTCTCTTTAACCTTTTCCAGGTCTTTCTGATACTGAATGGCAAATTCCCTGGTCCCTGGTGGCAGTCGTTGCACTTGATCAGGGTTCAGACAGTCAACGGGTCTACGAGGGCTCCATCCAAGATGCAGTTCCGTAGGTGCTCTAGACGTAGCTAGATGCACAGAGTTATTCTAGGCACTTGCAAACTTTGACAGATGTTCATCCCAGTCAATCTGATCTGGACGGATGTACATGCGCAACACTTGCTGCAGCAGCTTGTTCATCTGCTCGGTCTGTACATTCGTCTCCGGGTGTCTACCTGAAGACATAGTCAGTTCGGACTCGTGCACCTTCATCAGTTGCTGCCTGAAACGGTATTCACCTGTTAGCAGTAGCGGATGCAGGTCCCAGGGTTCGATCCCTAGTCCTCACTTTACCGTGTACAGTATCTGTGTCGACCCCGAGTGTTTGAACCCGTGACCTGTGTTTTGATAGTTGTTGTTGTCTGTCGTAGGTCTGTGTAGTGGTAGGGGTTCGATCTGTAGGTCTGTCGAGTAGGAGTCACAGCCCTGTAGAGGTCGTAGCTGTAGGAATCCTGAAAGGTCAAGGTCGTAGCTGCTACAGTCCTGCAAGGTCAAGGTCGTAGCTGCTACAGTCCTGCAAGGTCAAGGTCGTAGCTGCTGCAGTACTCGAAAGGCCACGTCCACAGACTTCCATCCGGAAGTCGCCTTTCGAAGCTCCCTCACACTTTAGTCAGAGGCAAGTGGGCAAGTGATGAGCCCAGCTGCATTACGTCGGCAGTGCGACTGCATTGAGTTGGCAATGCAAACCCATGCAGTCAGTCAGTCCCAGTCCAGTCAAGCAAGTACCATGAGGGACTGTGTGCACCATAGGCCTGGTGGAGAAGGGCAGACCAACGAGTTACAGAAGTATAAATCAAGAGGCAGTGCCCAGTCATTCATTCATTCGCTGCGTAAGCCATGCGGAAGCACTGCTACAGCGTCTTGTGTGAAGGTGGTCTGCAGGTTGCCCGAAGACGAAGTGGGCTGAAGGGAGATCGTAGCCATAGTCAGTAGTGGTAGTGCGGCCATAGCAGCTGTAGGAGGAAGTAAGACTAAGCGTGTGTGTGTGGGATATCCAGGGTGATCCTAAGTTGAGTGTGTGTGAACAGCAGAGTTGGACACAGTGACGGGAAGAGAGTTGTATAGGCGCTGAAGCGCCATAGCCTGTTGAAGCGAGCAAGTATCTGAACTGTGTTTCCGACTTCCCTATCTTTGAGCTTTGAGTGGGCGCTGAGCGCCAGTGTGGCTTGCAATCTGTTTGTGTGACTGCGAAGTGTGAAAGAGAGCGAGTCTGATTGCACTGCCATTGCTCACCTGTGAATCGCGTATCCCTGTCACTCCCAATAGTCAAGGGGGATGTCCGAAATCTTTCATCCAATGATTAAAGAATTCCCTAATCACCAAATCAGTTCTTGCTTCTGCAAGGAGCGGAACAGAAACAGCAAACTTGCTAAATCTGTCTACCACAACCATAACCTGACTTTTACCATTCCTGCTTTTCACTTTAGTGTCCATGCAGTCTATAGACACGGAGTTCTTGGGTCCCGACGGAATAGGCAGCGGTTTGAGTAATCCAAGGGGAGGTTGTTTGAAACTCTTGTTCCTCTGACATACCTGACAGTCTTGCACGTAAGAAATGCAGTCATGCTTCATTCCCGGCCACGTGTACGAGCGCAGGATGTTCACATAAGTCTTCCTCCATCCGAAGTGCCCCTCGGTGTCGTGGTTTTCACCAAGTATGATGCTACAAATTTCTTCGCTGTTCGGGATGCATAGTCGATCATGGACATTTATTTTTCTCAAACAGCAGTCCCTGCATCACCCTATAGTTCGGGACTTTGTGGTGTTGTCTGCACCTTGCCAATCAGTTGGCTATAGATTGGATCACTCGCATAGGCAGACTTAATTTTCTCTTGCAGTTCGGTGCTCGCATCTAGATATGTGACAATAGCACCGAAAAAGTCATCTCTTCTACTCGACGCATCGGCAACGACATTGTACTTTCCCTTTACTGGATTCAACTCAAAGTCAAACTGATCAATTTCCCCGGCCCACCTAGTCAATTTTTGTGTCATGCCAGCGAAGTGTTTCGTGATCAGAATAGACTTTAAAGTGGCGACCTAGTAGATAGCGTCGCCAGTGATTCAACGCTTCCCGCAAAGCAAACAGCTCTCTCCCATAGGTGGAAGCGGCGACCTTTTCGCTAGGCAGTCTACAGGACAAATTCTACAGGTTTGTACCGACTTCCATCATCTTGCTGGAGTAGAGCACCGATCCAATATTGATTGGCGTCAGTGGTTACGATAAAAGGCAGAGATGGGTCTGTGACTTTCAACATCAGGTAGTTAATCAGACATTTCTTCATACGCTTAAGGGACGCACTGCAATCCCGATCCCATTTCCAGACAGTTTCTTTCTTTAACAATCTGCGCAATGGGACAGCGATTACCGTAAAGTTCCGAACGAACTTGCAGTAATAGTTGGCCAGACCAAGGAACGAACGCAGTTTCGTTAGCGTGCGTGGGTTAGGCCAATCTCGAATGGCTGCAATCTTGGCGTCTTTCAGCTTGATCCCGTCACCATCTACCAAATGATCCAAGTACAAAACCTGACGCTTTGCCCACTCACACTTCTTCAAGTTAATCTTAAACTTCGCCTCAAGCAACTTATTTAGCACGATTTGAAGGTGCTCCTCATGCTCACTCAAACTCTTACTAAAGATCGGTACATCATCTAAATAAACGACAACAAACTTATCAAGCCACTCAGGAAAGAGCTCATTCGTACATCTCTAGAAGGTTGCAGGAGCATTCGTTAGTCCAAACGACATTACCAGAAACTCATAGTGGCCGTACCGGGTCCGGAAAGCCGTTTGTGTTCTATCCTCAGGCAATACCTCAATCTGATGGTAGCCTGATTTCAAATCTGTTTTTGAAAAATATTTGCAACCTTGCGCTCTGTCTAAGAGATCGTCTATCCTTGGCAATGGCTCAACGTTCTTGACTGTTATTCCGTTGAATCCCCTATAATCTATACACATATGCAGTTCGCCGCCTTTTTTTGGCACAAATAGAACCCGTGCACCGAACGGTGAGGAGCTTGGTCTAATCCATCCCTTCTCGAGCAATTCATTCAATTGCTTCCGCAGTTCGTCGAACTCTTTTGGAAACATCATATAGATGGGGCCTTGGGGATCCGGCTACCGGGTTCTAACTCTATCCGGTGCTTGGTTTCTCTCTCAACCACTCCACTCTGGGCCTCTCCCACATATGCGAACTCAACAAGCAATTTCTGCACATTGGGGGGTATCGACTCTTCCTCTTTCTTTTCTGCACTCACCGGGCGCACATATGCAACAAACACTTGGTCGGCGAGGTCATTCTTGACCACATGCCGGGCAAACGCAGGGGCACTCATGCAGCAAAGGGACATGCTATTTTTTACGTCGGATGCATGGAACAAACACACTTTCTTCTTCCCACCTCGGGGACTAGGCGAACAACACTCATACTCACCCAGTTTTATGTTTGCATCAACGGCCTCGCCCCGATCAGTCCCTAAGATCATCTCAAAAGGGAGGC